CTAGTATAACCACTCTGGAAAAAAATTTGGAGGCTACTTAAAAAGCTAAACATTGATCTAACCACATGATCCAGCAATACCACTCTTGGGGATATACCCAAAAGACTGTGACACAGGTTACTCCAGAGGCACCTGCACACCCATGTTTATTGCGGCACTATTCACAATAGCCAAGTTATGGAAACAGCCAAGATGCCCCACTACTGACGAATGGATTAAGAAAATGTGGTATTTATACACAATGGAATTTTATGCAGCCATGAAGAAGAACGAAATGTTATCATTCGCTGGTAAATGGATGGAATTGGAGAACATCATTCTGAGTGAGGTTAGCCTGGCCCAAAAGACCAAAAATCATATGTTCTCCCTCATATGCGGACATTAGATCAAGGGCAAACACAACAAGGGGATTGGACTTTGAGCACATGATAAAGCGAGAGCACACAAGAGAGGTATGAGGATAGGTAAGACACCTAAAAAACTAGATAGCATTTGTTGCCCTCAACGCAGAGAAACTAAAGCAGGTACCTTAAAAGCAACTGAGGCCAATAGGAAAAGGAGACCAGGAACTAGAGAAAAGGTAAGATCAAGAAGAATTAACCTAGAAGGTAACACACACACACAGGAAATCAATGTGAGTCAACTCCCTGTATAGCTATCCTTATCTCAACTAGCAAAAACCCTTGTTCCTTCCTATTATTGCTTATACTCTCTCTTCAACAAAATAAGGGCAAAATAGTTTCTGCCGAGTATGGAGGGGGCAGGTTGGGGGTGAGAGGAAGGGGGCGGGGTCGGTGGTAAGGGAGGGGGTGGGGGGGAGAAATGACCCAAGCATTGTAGGCACATATAAATAATTTAAAAAAAAAAAAAAAAAACTAATTTTTGCGGCCATCCACCAGTGGCTCACATCTGTGATCCCAGCTACTTGGGAAGCTGTGATCAGGAGGATTATGGTTTGAGGTCAGACCAGGCAAATAATTTGCAAGACCCCAACTGCAAAATAAGAGCAAAATGAACGGGAGGTGTGGGTCAAGTGACAGAGCGTCTGCTTTGCAAGTGTGAAGCCCTGAGTTCAAACCCCAGTAAAAAAAAAAAAAAAAAACACTTTCACATATGCAGAATCTTAATAACTTCCTAATATATAGAAAACGGCAATCATTACTTTGAGCTCAGAAAGATGAAATAAAATTTCAATAGAAAAAGGAAAACAAAAAATTATTGCAATCTAGAATTAAAAGTACATTATAATGTAATTAAAAATAAATGCATTTTCTCAACTGTTCTAAGGACACATAACCAAGAGCTGAAGCAGTCACTCAACATGGGTTACTCAAACCTGACTCTGCTCACAGCAAAGCTCATCCTGCTCCTAATCAGTTGAACTGTGCAACAATGCCCCCTCCTATGTTGAAGTCCTTACCCCCTAGTACCTTAGAATGTGACCTAGAAACAGTTACTGATGTACTGAGTCGAGATGAAGTAGGATGGACCCGAATCCAGTATCGTTGGAGTCCTTGTAAAAAGGAGAAAGTTGGAAAGACAGAGAGACAAGTGAACAAGGAGACTGTCAAGGGAAGCCTGGACATATGCTGCCACAACAAGGAAGCCATAGAATAGGTTTGGAACAGATTCTTCCCTAGTCACTTGGAGTACCATGGCCTGGCAACTCACAGATCTTGGCTCCCAGCTCCAGAAGGGCAGACAACAACCTCTGTTGTTTAAAACGCCCTGTTTCCAGAGTTTTGCTATGGCAGCCCTAGCACACTGACACTGTCTTACAGTGCTTCCTTCAGATGAGATAAGATCTACAGCCAAGTGTAGTAGTGTACCCCCGGCAGTCCCAGAACTCAGGAGGCGAAGGTGAGAGGATGGAGAATTCAGGGCAGCCTGGGATATAACAAGACCCTAAGACCCTGTTTCACAACAAAACAAACAAACAAAGAGAGATAGAGAGTAATATCTAGGGATCTATTTGTGCAGGCAGGCAACCAGATCTCACAAGGTTTGGTGTGCTGAATAGTTTGGAATTGATCATGCTGATAACAGGGATCCACTGAAAGGCTTCACATGAGTTAATACAAGGTATATAAAGGGTAAATGAATTTGCTTGCAACTGATATCATACATTTCCACTCAAGCTGGGACCAAAGATACCTACATGCCAAAACTCAAGTTTTTTGTTACATAAAAAATATTCTTGTCAGGGATGGTATCTCACACATGTATGTAATCCTAGCTAGCTATTCAGGAGGCAGAGATCAGAGGATCATGGTTTGAGGCCAGCCCAGGGAAATAGCTCATATGACCCTGTCTCGAAAAAAAAAACCATCACAAAAAGGAATGGCAGAGTGACTCAACCTGTAGGCCCTGAGTTCAAACCACAGTACCACAAAACAAACAAAAAATGAGACGATACCTTCATGTGCAGTAAAATCTCCCCAAATTCTTCTAAATATTAGAACACAGATAAACTTAGTGAAAACAGCCTTTCATATTTAAAAAAAAAAATCTTGGAACGCAAAATGCCAGTTTTTTTATTTGGAAGAAACAATGTTTGTCTGAGTGCTGTAGATAAGCTTTCATGACTCAGAAAACAAAGGCTTTTTTAAAGTAAATTCAGCACATGGCTTGCACCTGTAAATCCAACTACTCAGGATGCAGAGATATGAAGGATCATGATTCACGATCAACCTGGCAATAAATTAGTGAAACTCTCAACCCAATCAATAAACCTTGCATGGTAACACATGCCCAAGGTCCCTGCTACAAGGGAGGCATAGACAGAAGCATCACTGTCTGAGGCTGACCCAAACTAAAAAATATGAAACCATACCTAAAAAGTAGTAAGCCAAAAGGGCTGGGGGCATGGCTTGAGTAGCAGAGCACTTGCCTAGCAAGTGTGAGGCACTGAATTCCAAACCACAATACTACCAACCCTTCCAAAAAACAAAAAAACCCTAAATTTAGCTTCTTAATAATCACAGACCAGCCCCTCAGTGAAACATCAGTAGCTAAATGTTAGAACATATCATTCGGCAACCTTTCCTCTTTAAGTAAGACCTTAATCAAAGGGAAATCGTCTATTTAGAAAATAATTTCATGTTTAAATTTACTTTGTAAACAAACTTTTCAATGAAGTACAAGACATACTCAGTGTGATAAATTTTTCACAAAGTGAACAGACCCGTGTAATGAGCACCACAAAACAGAACAGGACCAGAACCCTGAGGGTCCCTTCCCCTTCACATTCTGTTCCACATACCAGTGCCAATAAGCCTTACCTCTCTCTCCTAACTTGAAACAGAAAAAGATAGTTGTGCCTGTTTCTAAATGTTGTATGAATGAATCATACCATATTATACTCTTTTGTATCCACTCAGCACTGTTTGATAATAGGTTACTTTTTTTTTAAATATGTACACTCCATTTTAATTCAAATGAGATCATCAGATTTCATTTTGCCTGGTTTGGATTTATCCCACCTTAAATTCCATTAGTGTCAAAAGAAATTAACACCTAAGTGTTGGATATATAATCAATTCTACTTCATAGTCATTTTTCAGTTTGAGTCCTAATTCCTAAAAACACCAAGAAGTTTTTAACAAATACACAGGGAGAAAATGGGGCCATGCACAGTGTCTCATGCCTGTAGCCCCAGCTACTTAGGGAGGAGGCAGAGATTGGGAGGATCAAGATTTAGGGCCAACCCAAGCAAAACCCAAGCTGGGGTGACAGGCGCACACCAGCATGCCCACTGTCATTGCTGTTAAGGGAGTTCCAGGCCAGCCTGAACTACATAACAAGACCCTGTTACACTAAATGAATAAGAAGCATATGGTAACTGTATGAAAGATTCTTCAGTGGCTAAGACATTCTCACTGTCCAATATATGTATCTTCAATCAAAAATAAACACTGATAATAGTGTGACCTACAGAAGACCAAATCTCCAAGAGAGCATTAACTTTCCTAAACCAACAACTTTGAAATTTTTGTGTCCTGTTGTATCTTTTCACTTAATTATCAACCAAGAAATTATAGTTGTGAACACAGGTTTGCCCATTTAAGTTCCAGTATTGACTATCTTTTAAAAAATCAAAGCTAAATCCTATATGGACCTCCGAAATCTGGAACTTCACATGAAGTTCGTAACAGTTACATTACTCCTAAGTAGAATGGCTGCACTGGGTTAATGACATAACTTAGTGAAGTTCTCTACTTCCTTGCTTAGAAAAACATCAAACAAGATTGATTGCATTAATCTCTTAATTTTATCTCCTATGAAATTGTCACTTCTCAACAGTATAACTAATTCAAACAAAATGACCTGGATTCTGTAAGAAAAGGATCTTAATACACACAATACTTTCCAATTTAAAAAAAATAAAGAAGCTTTGCTGCCGTCTGTTAGCTTCTGAATCACTTGTTTCCAAGCTTGAACTCGGGGCTTTGCACTTGCAAAGCATGCACTCTATCACTTGAGTCACACCTCCAGTCCATTGTGCTCTGGTTATTTTGGAAAGGGGGTCTTGCAAACTGTTTGCCCCAGCTGGCCTCAAATCACCATCCTCCCTAATCTCATATTCCCAAGTAGCTAGAATTACAGGTATGAGCCACCAGTGCCCAGCCCAAAAATCTTAATTTTACTCAACTCTGCCATGTATGTATTCCTTCTACAGGTTCACAACAGGCTAATTTATGGTTGAAGATGAAAAGCAAGAATGAATCCAAAAACCAAAAAATATTAAGTAAATGATTAAGTGAGAGAATGAGCAGCATGAGAACTCAGAAATGCAGGCCAAGGAAACATAAGCAAGAAGTAGGTAAACCCACTGACCCAAAGTGAGTACCATGTTTACTAACTTGACTTTTCTTACACCAAATTACTGTCTACTCTTGGGGGTCCAGCATTCCTTAGCCAGTTGGTTAACAGGTATTACTTCATCATCATGAGGCCATCTCTCACCCACCCTGTGAAGACTCAAATGGAGTGTTCCTTACCTCCTGGTCTGTAGACAACATCATCCTCAGTGATATAGGATGTTATCTCCCCAGTGTCTGTCCTTTCATAACGGGATCTTTTCTTCGGTGGTTTCTTCTTGTTCTTCTTCGTGGACTCTTCCGTGGTGGCACTATTGTTGTCATTGTCCTCATCCTCACTGTGATCACTCTCAGCGTAATTTTTGGCTCCTCCTTCCAAGGTACAGCTCCTGCGCGGCCTTGAATTCTCACTCTCTCTTGCTTTGTCTCTTTTTTCTCTCTCTCGATCCCGATCTCGGTCCCGGTCCTTGTCTTTGTCCTTATCTTTGTCTTTGTCTTTGTCTTTGTCAGCTGTCATGATTCTCCACGTGCCTTCTTCTGTCCTCTCACGGCTAGGCCTCCGTGAAAGGTAGACAGTAAGCCTGGGCTTCAGTCTTCTGAATTTCTTACTCAATTCCAGGGAAAATCTAACCACTCCAACAACCCCAATGTTTCAAAAATGCTAGAAGAGAAAAAAAAATTGGCTTACTTTAATGTCTCCTTTTATTTCCTTCCTAAAATAATGTTTTATTAAACAAATCTTTTCCTTAATCATACTTCAGATATAAAAACTTATAGGTCACAGTTAAAAAGTTACAACAAATGATATATGACTGAGTTTTCACTGCAGCTAGCAAACAGTTTGGGGTTTCTACAGCACTAATAATAAAAAATTATCTCAATGTAAAAGAATACATTATACTTCTTATAGGTAAAGTGTAACCCAGTGGACAACATATACTGGGAAAAATGCCACAAAAAAACTTCAACCCACAATACAAAGGGGAATAAAACTTGTGGTATAAATTATTTCCACATGAAAAAATAATTTGAGCAACAATAGAAAAATGTCTTGGGATGTCATTCAGTGTACTGTCTTCAGAACCTTCAACTTCCTTCAAATTACCAGAGTTTCCTTTAAGAATAAATATATTTGATTCAAGTAATTCTAGCTACTCAAGAGGCAGAGATCAAGAGGATCGGAGTTCGAAGCCAGATTGGGCAAATATTTCACAAGACCCTATCTCAAAACTACTCAACACAAAAAAGGGCTGGTGGAATGGAGTGGCTCAAGTGGTACAGTACATGACTACTATGGGTGAGGGCCCTGAGTTCAAACCTAAGTACCACAAATAAATACATACATAAATTTGTTTCAAACAAAAGTGACAGTTTTCAAAGCAAGAGTCTTTCAATTACTTTAGTTACACCTTATATATCTTCTCTGTCTACCATTCTAGTTATGTTCTAGGAAAAATGGTTTCTCCAAAGAGTTATTATCTCTGACTTAATGAAACTAAGAACTTCCGAAAACAACCTTTGAGATTTAGGAAATACTAGGTGGTTTTTACATTGTTCTAAATTTCCACTATTAATAATTGCCTAATAAACACCCTCAGAACCAAACCAAACCTAACAATGACAAAAAAAAAAAAAAAACACAAAGATTTTATTCTTCTACAATGGAAAGAGTTAATCCCAAACTCCAACTCAACATAATTCTTTTTTTTTTTCCTCTCCCTTCCTAGGCTGCCTCAAACCACAATCCTCCCATCTCTGCCTTCTAAGTAACTAGGATTACAGCCTTGAGCCACTTAACATAATTCTTACAAAAATTTTATAACAAGGAAAAAAACCTGACTTTACAAGTTAGTTTTGGAACTTCTAATAGCCACTTATTTTTATCTTCCACCATCTTTTATCATCTACCCCACTATCTCATCTCTTTCTTTCAGCAATCTTTACTAAATACAGTCTAGGTGCCAGGTGTTCAGAACTAAAAATACAATGGGGAGGAACTCATGGTCCTTGGCCTCAGTGCTCAAATGCAACAAAAGGAGGCAACTAATCAATTTAAGAACCATCTGTTTCCCATGCTACTAAGGCCAGATAGAAAACAACATATGCAAACAAACAGAAGATTGGCCCTGTTTTAGCCAACAACAGATAAATCAGTTTGCAATTCTAGATCTCAGATACAGAGAAAATTCTCTTTGGTCATGCCAAAACCATAAAAATTATCACAGATTCTCTCCAAAGCACATAGATCAAACCAGGTATCAGAAAAAAAAACTTCCCATAAGCATGTCAAACATCCTTAGGAATTCAAGAAAATAAAATATGTTAACAAACAACCTTTGGGAGATGACTGAGGAAGGAGCAGTAAAACTGAGCCTCTATAAACAAGGTTAGAAGGCCAATAGCATGTAACACAAACCTCAATTGCTTCTTTTCACCTAGGAAATATATTTTCAGATAGAATTTCAGTTTTAAGCATATTTCAAGAAAAGGAGAAAATTATTCTAGTACCTATGAAAGTTTTTAGATCAATCACATGCTAAACAGGCAATAATAAATTCCCAAATCCCATTAGCACTGAAAATACATAAATACATTATATTCTCCACCAAGTTTAAGTTTAAAGCATGAACAAGTCACTCAAGAAAGAAAGAAAATTAAACTATCAGCTAACAGTTATTAAAACATTCTTCGCTGACACTGAAGTGTCTACTTATCAATGAGGAAGATCTAAGGCTGAAAAACACCTCTCATTTGCAGATTAGAACATAAATACCTCTCATGTATTTAAGAATAAAAGATCATTTTCCCAGGGTTCAGAAGGTAACTGCTCCAGAAAACTGTATTTAAAAAAAAAAAAAAAAGTTACTACAAAGAGGAAAAAATAATAAACCCAAATTTAACATTCAGTATTACACTCGCTATAAAATTATATGCTGTTTCTATTTGCAAAGAAAATAGAGGGGTGGGGACTTGGCTCAAGTGGTAGAGAGCCCGGCTAGCAAAGTATGAGGCCCTAAGTTGAAACCCAAGTCTGCCCTACCCCAACAAACAAACAAACCTGCATTCTGCCTACAATTAAAAATAGGGTTTTTTTCCCTCAAGAGTGAGCAAGAACAGAAGGAAAAAGTCCGAGAAATAATAGAGAAAACATCCAAAAAGCAATCCAGTCTAATGCATATGTATGAGTACATGTGCATATAGTCACATAAAAACAAAATCAATCTTAGAAATCTGAAAGTTTGCTATATTTATATATTATCTTACTATTAAATGCATAAATATGCTATATATACAATCAACTATGAGGATAACTAAGAACACTGGTAATAAAAACAAAAAAAAAAAAGCCAAAGTCAATCCAATCATCATTTCCATTTGGCACTATTTACATCTGGCTCTAAATATACCTCAATAGGGATATGAATTGTCCTCAATATCTAACATACTAATTATAATTTTTCTAAGCCTTGGCACAGAGTGAGCAACATACACCAATAATGTGACATTTGGAAAAGGGGATCCATAAAGGAATCAGATGGTACTAAAAAGGAGAGTTGTCACTTCAACTTGCTAGAAATGATATTCATAGTTAAACAATTCAATAGCACCTTTATAACAACGTGAGACTTATAAGGGTCCCTCATTTGATTGTACAGAAGTTGCCATCCCACTTTACAGACTACAAAGCACAAGGCCACACGACCAATGAGTGCAAAGACAGGATTCTGAAGCAGCTCTTATAAAGCAAATTCTGCTTGACCTGATTAGGACTAGCTGTTTTCTGTGCTGCCAGGGTCTAACTCTCCACAGGCACCAACCTGTCCTCCATGGATCCACACTGATAATTTACACAGACAGGTTTAGGAAACATACACACTCTGCCCTTATGCCCTCCCAAAAAAAAAAAAAAAAAGTTTATCTCCAATAAGAAAGCCAAAAATATTAATAATGTATGTGTTGTTCACTATTCATCGCAGTGAAGCAAGAAACACTGTTAATAACAAGTAATAAAATAAAGTTAATCCAGAACACAAAGTATCATGTAAGTCTACTGAATGCCTACTATGTACTACTTACCACTCTAGGTACTGGGAAACACCAGAAAAACACACAAACATCCCTGCCCTGGTGGAACTTATGTCTCTAGAGAATGAAAAGAGACTTCATACCCACACACATACTGAAAAATCTTAACTGGGGAATTCAATGGGGATTGGGAGGGTTGCAATTAAACAAGACGACCGGGGAAAACCTCCTTGAGGTGGCTTGGCTAATACAGTTAGAGAGGAAGTCACAAGGACACATGGTGTACATATCCAGGGGCAAAGGCAAGCAGGGAACTCTCAGACACAAGAAGCCAATGGGAGGGACTGGACTGGCATGAGAAGAGTGGCAAGAGTTAAAAACGCAGGGGCAAGATGACCTGGGCCTTTCAAGACTTTCAACAACTTTGGCTTTTACACAAGTGATATTAAGTGACAAATTTCAGCAGGGATATGAGTAGCAAAGAATGCTATCATGTGACTTGTTTACCTAAGATCACTCTGGCCACTGAGAAAAACTGAAGAGAAGCAGGGGCCATACAAAGACTGGAAAGAGAGGAGGCTTGGGAAGAGGTCAAGGCAGCTCAGATGGCCAGGGTGGTAGTAGCAGAGAATGGGAGAAGTCTAATTTTCTATGCATTTTTAAGATAAGAGGCAAACAGGACGTGATGATAAACTTGCAACTGAGGCATGCAAGAATAAAAGTCAAGAACAATTCTTAGGAATCTGGCCTCAGCAACTGATGAATCAAACTGCCATTATCTGAGTTCTAGGTGGGAAGGAAGATCAGGAGCTCAGGAATGTGTTAAGTTTTAGAAGCCTACAAAAACCACATAAAAGAGGTCTGTGGTGCAGCACAAAGTCCTGGATTTGAACCCCAGTAGTACAGCGGAGAAAAAAAACACGCATTATGACATTATGATTCTAGGTAGGCAGCGGTTCATCCTTAAGACAAAACACATAAACTCATTTACACAAGCAATTACTTTCATATACTTTTAAATGTGAAGCTTTTGACCATTACACCCAGGATTTTGCTTTCTTGTAACAAAATTCTCTTTGCTACTTCTCTCTCCTACTCAGAGAAGGAAAACTCACTGTTTTCTCTAAACAGCAGTTTCTAAACTGTGACACTGTTAAAACTGGGGCCAGACAAGTCTTTGTGTAGGAGCCTGCATTGTGCATACAGGATGTTCTGCAGCATTCACGGCCTCTACCCATGTAGATTTTACTAGCACAACCCACTGTTTCCAATCAGAATTTAAACAGCAGTTTCTTAAACTGTGACACTGTTAAAACTGGGGCCAGACAAGTCTTTGTGTAGGAGCCTGCATTGTGCATACAGGATGTTCTGCAGCATTCACGGCCTCTACCCATGTAGATTTTACTAGCACAACCCACTGTTCCAATCAGAATTTTAAAGAAACCTCCAGATACTGCCACATTTCCTCTGGGAAGCAAATCTGCCCACAGTTGAGAACCACTACTTTAAACAACTGTCTACTGTAGATATTTCAAAGGCTTAAGCATCTGTGCTGCTTTATCAAAATTATGCCTGGCTAATATGGAATCCATAGAACCAACATCGTTACAACCACTATAATGTGCCATATTCTTT